ATTGCTTCTGGAAAGGGTCAAGAAAAGAAGCCAGGGACAGTGATGGTTATTTTTTAGATTTGACTACATGTTAAAATGAGAACTCGTCCACTGTACATGTATGCCTCCACCCCAGAAGATGACCAAACCCACTTCATTTTGTTTTAATGCAACTATTAATAATTTGTTTAAAATGAATAATCCATAACAAATGCTAAATTACACCAAGGCATCAGGACAATATGCAAGACCAGGACTTCACAGTAAGCTGGGCTGTATGACCACACTATTCACCTAGTTGTTTTGGGGATTAAATCAATTACTGTATGGAAAGTGCCTAAAACAATGCCCGGTATATAGTAAGCCCTCAATCAATGTTAGCACTTATTACCATTACCATGGTTCAGACTTAAAAAACTTAAAATACTGTCTTAGAGAAAAAGACGCCATTTTCTAAGGGACACATAATTGGAAATGTCTCCTAATCTTTTTTTTTTCCTCCAAAATTTAATTGTCAATGAAAATAATAGCCTTGACAGCAAAAGTCCAAACATGATTTGTTTTGTTCCCCACCTCCTTCTCACGTCTTAAATTTGTTAATTAAGCTTTGTTTTTTGAATGGCCATTTTGAGATGCATAGTCGAACTCCAGAACATCTCCATGCAAAACATCTAAACTTGGATTTCTCAGTTTTTTTAAGACAAAGCAGTGACTACCAATGCCAACTGGCATCTCTAAGGAGTCTCACCTTAATGCCTGCCACTGTCAGCCTCTCAGGTGTCCTTCTTGCTCCTCTCTGCAGTGCCCAAACTATCTTGCTTTCTTCCTTATTTAACCCCAGCTCCTCTGGAGCCTCTGAAGTTGAGTTCATTCGACTTCATCACTGGTCTCCTTTATCACTGCTGTCATCTGCCAGCCTCCAGCCCTTAGGAGTTGATGACTTTAGGAACTCTTTCATTATCAGCTCAATACCCATGAATGCCATCTTTCATGGAGGGTCTTCAATAACCAAATGGATAACTGGCCCCATCCTTGGCCTTTCAATTCGTGGACTGCCTTGCTGTCAATTTTTCCTCTGCTGGACCTTAGCCAAATATTTATGTTCATACCCTTATCCTTGTCTTTACTTCCTGTGAAATCTTGATTTTTGAACTTTTCTTTCCCCTGCTCACCACTGCTTTGTGTCCTTCCAGCACAGTTATTTTAATATTCTTATTTCAGCATTTCATTGACCTCAGTGAAATGGCCCATCCATTAGTAGCCAGTGTCTCCTTCATGTTCTCACTTTACCTACTTTAGAGTCCCTGGTTCATCACTACTGGTCCCTTGCAAGCACCCTTAACTCCCCTGCTCTCCCTCCCACTTTCCCTTCCTCTCCTCCAACTCCTCCATTGTCCTTTTTAAAGCTACAGGGTTTTATTAGTTTTAAGTGTACAATATAGTAATTCAATTCCATATATCACCTGGTGCTCATCATGACAAGTGTATTCCTTAATCCCCATCACCTATTTCACCCATCCCCCCACCCACCTCCCCTCTGGAAACCATCAGTTTGTTCTCTGTAATTGAGTCTGTTTCCTGCTTGGTCTATCTCTGTTTTTCCTTTGCTTGTTTGTTGTTTCTTAAATTTCTTATATGAGTGAAATCATACGGTATTTGTCTTTCTCTGACTTATTTCACTTAGCATAATACTCTAGCTCCAGCCATGTTGTTGCAAATGGCAAGATTTCGTTATTTTTTATGGATGAATAATATTCCATTATACACACACACACATACACACATACATACATACTACCTTTTTTTAATCCATTCATCAATAATGGACACTTGACTGCTTCCATATCTTGGCTATTGTAAATCATGCTGCTATAAACATCAGGGTGCATGTATCCCTTTGAATTAGTGTTTTTGTATTCTTTGGGTAAATAGTGCAATTGCTGGACAGTAGGGTAGTTCTATCTTTAACTTTTTGGGGAACCTCCATACTGTTTTTCACAGTGGCTGTACCCATTTACAGTCCCACCAACAGTGCTCAAGTGTTCCTTTTTCTCCACATCCTTGCCAACACCTGTTTGTTTCTTGTGTTGCTGAATACCTATTCTTTTCAAACTATTCCAAAAAATAGAAAGGGAAGGAAAGTTTCCAAATTCATTCTATGAGGCCAGTATTACCTGGATACCAAAACCAGATAATGACACCACTAAGAAAAGAGAACTATAGGCCAATATCCCTGATGAACATAGATGTAAAAATCTTCAACAAAATACTAGCAAACCGAATTCAACAATACATTAAAAAAATCATCCACCATGATCAAGTGGGATTTAATTTTGGGTTGCAAGAGTGGTTCAATATTTGCAAATCAGTCAATGTTATACATCAATAAGAGAAAGGATAAGAACCATATGATCATTTCAATAGATGGAGAAAAAGCATTTGACAAGGCACAATATCCATTCATGATAAAAACCCCCAACAAAGTATGTTTAGAGGGAACATACCTCAACCTAATATAGGCCATCTATGAAAACCCACAGCTGACATCATCCTCAATGTGGAAAAACTAAGAGCTTTTCCCCTAAGGTCAGGAACAAGACAAGGATGCCCACTCTCACCACTTTTATTCAGCACAGTACTAGACATCCTAGCCACAGCAATCAGACAACAAAAAGAAAGAAAAGGCATCCAAATCGGTAAGGAAGAAGTAAAAAGCAAAACCATCACTATTTGCAGATGACATGATACTATACATAGAAAACCAGAAAGACTCCACGAAAAAAACTGCTAGAAGTGATCAACGAATTCAGTAAAGTCACAGGATACAAAATCCACATACAGAAATCTGTTGCATTTCTATACACCAATAATGAAGTAGCAGAAAGTGAAATTAAGTAATCCCATTTACAACTGCACCAAAAATAATAAGATACCTAGGAATAAACCTAACCAAAGAGGTGGGAGATCTGTACTCTGAAAACCATAAAACACTGTTGAAAGAAATTGAAGATAACACAAAGAAATAGAAAGATATTCCATGCTCATGGGTTGGAAGATTTCTACAATAGCCTCCTAACTTTGCTGCTGCTACACTTGACCCCATGGACCATCCACTTGATATCCTGGTATTTGCTATGTTGAAACTAATTTGTGGATTCCAGTCAGTTGGAATGAAATCCATTCTTTTATACTGGCCTGCAAAGTCCTGTATGAATCTGAAATCACCTATTCCTCCAACCTCATCTTCTTTTCTCCTGCCTGCTCTAGTATTGCCCAGGTTTCTGCAGACTTATAATATGACTCAGTTGGGACTCTTGTGAAAGGTACTAATTCTCAGTGACCTCCCCTTGCAGACTCTGATTCATAGGTTTAGGAATCTGTACAAGAAACTACTTTTAACAAGCGCTCCATGTGACTCTTATGATAAGATACAGATACAGCCTAAGAATCTTCCACATAGCATTCCAAGGAAGTCCTACCAATTATTCAGAATTGGGAAGCAAAATGAAACTCATTTTCCATTTCTGGTCTAGGAGAATATGCAGTCAGTGGCCATCTACTATGCTAAGTGAGGGAATTCTGGGAATACAGTTTATGTGCTGGAATAACCTCACATTCCCGTAATTTCCTGGGTGGCACAGGTGCCATTTGTGCAGATTCCTGTGGATGAGGATGAAGAAATCGTTATCATCAACAAGGAGGCAAGGAGGAGAAAGTTGAGAAAGGCTTGATACTCAACAGTGTACAGAAAAGAGAATGTGTGTGTTTCCCTAGGCTATGATAGGACAAAATGTTCCTAAGAGGTAGAGAAGAGAAACAGGGCAACCAGCCAGATACCAGTCCAGAGTATGTGCAGGAAACATTTTGGTAGATGAGGTCAGGACTCTGTGAGCTCATATGCATACGAGCTCTTCAACGTAACCAACATCTAAATCACAATAAATGTTTAGCTTTGCATCTAGGTATTTAGAAGCATTAAGATTGACAGTGAAACATTTTTGGCTTTCTTCCAACAGAGTAGTATATAACTATGGCTTTAATAGCAAGTTTAATTTCTTAAATTTTAGGGGAGCTGATTTTGAAAAGTATCTGTCATTTCCTATATGTAAAATTTTAACTTCAGTCCTCTAGCAACTGGCACTAGGATCCTCCATATCAAAGGGCATGTTTCTCTTCCAGAATTGAAACTGAAAACAAGGGCAAGCCTCCTGGTGTCCCATATGAAATTGGATCATAAGCCAGAGTAGTGCTTTTCCAACATGTACACATGCTGAAATTCCCTGGGGGGAGCTTCAGAAATCCTGACTACTGTGCCCCATCCCAAAGATGGGATTTAATTGCTGTGGGGTGTGGCCAAGGTTTGGGATTTTGAAAGATCTGCAGGCTATTCTAAGGGGCAGGCAAGTTTAGGAACCACGGAGCTATTGATTTTGAGCATCTGTTTGAAACCTCAAACCTCTGGATGGTGTAGAATTTGGGTTTATGCATTAAAGTTTAAGTTGAGACAATGAGATCAGTTTGATTGGATTTATCAAGTTGTGACCAACCTGGGTAAGGACCTTATTTACATAAAATCAGAGCAATTGATGAGAAAGTCAGTCGAGGTAGCTATGTACACAAAGTCACATACACACAAATTATTAATGTTCAAAACAACAGGATTTTAAAGCAATTTTGTCAAATTGAGTATAGATCTCCAATTAGAGTTGCCCGATAAAACACAGGGCTCCCAGTTAAATCTTAATTTCAGATCAACAAATAATTCATTAATATAAGTATCTCCCATGCAGTACTTGGGACATCTTTATACCAAATGCTGTTTGTTGATTTAAACTTCAAGTTTAGCTGCATGCCTTGTACTTTTATTTGCTAAATGTGACAACCCTGCCCCAATTTTAAAGGACTGACCTGAGCACTAATTCAGTCTAGTAGGACACCTCAGGACCAAAATTAACCTTAGCCTCTTGCTCATTATGTATTCTATTTTCTGAATTGCACTGCCTGGGTAACTACCTCAAGCTCTACCCGACTTTGTCTGCGCTGAGGGTCAACTGTACCTTATTCTGTCTCTTCTGTCTTCTCCGGAGCCGCAGGAGCTCCTTGTGTTGTCTGGAGACAAAGTTCACAGCCGCGTACTCCAGTAAGGCAGCAAACACAAACAGAAGGCACACCGCCATCCAGATGTCAATCGCTTTCACGTAGGAAACCTGAAAGAGAGAGAGAGAGAGAATGGAGAGGGGCACTGTGAAAACTCGTGGAGAAATCGGGCTCCTCATGTTGTGAGAAGCAGAACACCTCATTTTCCTTCATCAAGGATTTTCTCTCCTTTCCTTAAGAGAGAGCTTAAGCATTTTCCTTTCTACTTTGCAGACTCGGGCTGAGCAGTGAAAATGACATGCCCTTTGCCCCAGGCCTTTTGTTCCGTCTCTCTCAGTATAAGCCCATCTGCTCAAGTAGCCTCATCCCTGAGACCAGCTCCAAAGATGACTACAAGAATTTCCTTAATGGAAAAAAAAAAAGAAAAAACAAAATTTTGAAGCTGCTTATTTCCTTCCATTTTTTCTTAATATTTAAAAACTAGTATAATTAAGATCATTCCAAAACCTGGATGAGAAAGAAGCTATGTGTTGGCTTTGGACCCTTCAAAAACCCATTTGTAATTTCCATCAATCTATTGATCCTGACAATGAAAACACATTTCTAATGGTTTTAAACTATCACAATTCAAAAATATTCAACCCAGGTAAAACATCAGGGCTCTGGTCTTGGGAAGGGATCTGGTTAACAAGGAAATTTTATAACATTTCAATGGTTGGCTGAGTGTTCAGTATCCCTTAAAATTTGAGAAATCAGATTCTGAAAGCAAATAGTTTTTATTTGCAATGGAAAGTGCCCCTCACCTCACCTCATTCCCACTTATTTTTTAAAAATAACTAGGTGGTGTTGTAACCTACTGGATCCCAGACTACAAAGGATACTTATCAAACTGCTAGCTGAATGTGTACCATCTAACTCTAAATTTTATTAAAAAGATTTATCTATTTATTTGAGAGAGAGAGCGAGGGAGAGCACAAGAGCAATGGAGGGGCAGAGGGACAGGGAGAAAAGCAGACTTCCTGCTGAGAGGGAGCCCGCAGTGCTCGATCTCAGGACCCTGAAATCATGACCTGAGCCGAAATCAAGAGTCAGACACTCAACCGACTGAGCCACCCAGGCACCCCACTGTAACTTTTTTTTAAAGACTTATTTATGTGAGAGAGAGCAAGCGCGAGAGCATGCGTTGGGGGGGGCAGAGGGAGAGGGAGAGAGAGAATCTCTAGTACACTCTCCCCTGAGCGTGGAGTCCGACGTGGGGCTCAATCCCATGACCCTGAGATCACGACCTGAGCCAAAATCAAGAGTCCGGTGCTTAGCCAACTGAGTCACCCAGGTGCCCCTAGCTCTAACTTTTAAATAGGGTTTCCAATTATTTTGATATCAGACCCTGAGTGTTTACCAGCCAGTACTATAAGCATTTTACCTGAATTTTCTAACCATCACAACAACTGTATTACCCCCATTTTCTGATGAGGAAACTGGAGAAGGGTTAAATTATTACTCAAGGTCACAGAGCTAGTTAAATGACAGAGCTAAGATTGGAATTGGATACCAGTCTGACTGGTGGATTTCCAAACGCACAAACACACTACTAGGATTATACCGTTTGTATCTTACATTTCTCTTTGATCTTTAGAGTGAGCATTTCTTACATCATTTAACTTCCTTCTAAATCATGCTTGCATAATGGTCCAGACCATGATGAATCATTTTGTATTACAGGGCATCTAGGTGATTTGAAGTTCTATTGTTCGCCACTATAAACTTTGGGGCTATGAACATTCTTCCCCTAAAGTATTTGGCTGTATCTCTGATTATTTGTCAGATCAGTTTTTAGAGTGGGATTATGGGAATAAATGATAGGAAAACCAGCTTCTGACTGAGAAAGTTAATAGCAACACAGCAGATGAAAAAGCAGAGGCTCTAGAGTAAGATGCCCCAAGCAGAAAAGAGCGCCCTGTTCTAACTATCATTTTGCCAAATTGTTAAACCTCTTTCTGCCTCCCATCCTTGTCTGTATAATAGGGACAATAATACCTATCTCAGAGTTACGTTGTGAAGATCACTTAATATATGCAAAGTGCTTAGAATAGTGTCTGGCACAGAATAAGTGCTATATAAATGTTTGCAATTATTCGTCTACATAAGGGTGTGATTTTGTTAATGGAGAAATTTTGGAAGAGAGAGAAAGATCAAGGAAAATAAAAAAAAATCACTCATGATCCTAATATATTCCAGTTCTTATTTTTAAGGTTACCACCTGCTTTACACTGTTCGTCTCGGTCAACCTGATCTACTGGTCAGTCCCACATATGTTGTGACAAAGTGGTCCAGCACTTTGTCATCACCAGCACTTTGAATAGATCACCCTTCCTACCTGGGATGCTTATTCTCATTCTTTCTGATTCACAGACTCCTCAGAATCCTTCAAGACTTGACTCAGATGTCGGCTCACCTGGGAAGCTTCCCCAACCTTCCAGCTTTCTGCCTTCTGGGTTAGAAGCCACTTTTCTTTGCTCTCTCATCATTCTCTATTGAACTTGTCCATTCTTACTCCATGAACTTCCCTGATCCCACCACTAGACCATAAGCAGTTTTTTTTTTGGACAGGCTCTGGGTATTATTAATCTCTGTATCACCAGCACAGGACCTAGGAAATAGTGAGTAAGCATTAGATATGTGGGATGGATGGATGGATAAATCAGTGATTGAATGACAGAAGGAATGATGGAAATATCAGGCCATCTTTCCATCTTTGTATTAAATTTCAACAATTCTACACTATGTAACATTACCCACAGTTGCATGTATTTGATATTTCTAGGAGTGGACTGTTAGTGGATTTTAATTCTCTCGGCACACTTAGCATGCCTGGAATGTTTCTTCCCTTAATAAGCAATCATTTGTCTTGTGTTTGCTCTTCTGGAGCAATCCTGTTCCACTGTAATTTGTCTTATAGTTGCTCTTCTGGAGCAATCCTGTTCTCCTGTAATAATAGAACATTACCAATCACAGCATTCCCAGTTATATATTATTCAGAAGGCCCGTAAATGTTTTAAGACCCAATAATGAGAGGAATTTGTCAGTGCCTGAGATATGTCCATACCACAAGCTAAGTCCAATAGAGCTGACCATCATTCCTCCCCTTCCTGGTGTTTATAGCATTTAGTAATTTGTAAACCTTTCCCCCATCTTGTTCTGCTCATCAGCAGGCCAAGCACATATTTGGCTTCTTTTATAGCTGCTCATAAATGAGTCCTTTCAATCTCTTAATCATTTTGGTTGGTCTCTGAGTTTCCTCCAAATCATGAACATCTTTCCAGCACTGAAGTGCTGGCATTAAATGCATTATTCACACGGATTTAGAGGGTGTTGTGAGACATCTATTACATGTGATGTGATGTCCCTTGGTGCTAGTCTCTGAGGATTGAAATGCCTTTTTGTTGCTTTTACCCAGCTCTGATGTCAGATTCTCTCTCTTTGGCTGCTAATCCCTAGATGTTGTTAGTTCACATCTTCCCCTGTCACATTCTTTGTATGATTCTTGGGCTTACATGATTGCTTCCTGAACTACTTTACTACAGTCTTGCAAAAAATAGATTTCAAAGGTAATTAAGCTCTCAAAATGCTATTATGACTCATTGAATTGGTATCTTTCCAGGCATATTTAATTCAGGAAAATAAACATTGAGGGCCTACTGTGTGGAAGGCACTATACTAGGTGCTGGTGGGAGGTGGGGCAAAAGATACAAGGATAACTAAGATGCACATTGATACTTCCCAGATTATACTTCAGAGGACCCCATTCACACTGTGCTCCAGAAAGTGTCATTCCCATACGTCACAGAGAAGCAAATTAGGGCTTATGGATCAAATCTGGCCCACCACATGTTTTAGAAATAAAGTTTTATTGGGACACAGCCATACTCATTCATTTACATATTATCTATGGCTGCTTTTACACTAAAATGGCACAGTTGAGTAGTTGTGACAGAGCCCATATGGCCTGCAAAAACCTCAAATACTTACTATGAGGTCCTTTACAGAAAACATCTGCTATCCCCTGACCTAGACTGTAGCGTTGTCTGGTTTGTCCTGGGGTTATACATCACAGTAGCACTGCTTGGTGCTTGAGAAATTCCTGGTCTACTGAGGGACACAGTCAAGTGAACATATAACTGATACACAGTAGATGGTCCCCTGTGTCAAGGTAGAAGAAAGACCAAAAGGCTGTTGGAATATGGGGAGGTTGATGTTGACAGGGAAGATCAGAAAAGGCTTCATTCTTCAGTGATGTGACATTTGACTTAGGGTTTGTGGAAAGCTGGGACTTTGGTGGGTGGAAACAGCTATAGAAGCAAAGCCATGAAGATGGGAGAGTAGGTGGGCTTAGGGATCGCGAACAGCCTCATACCAGGATATGCTAGGTACCTGGGAAGTGCATGGTGGGGTGTGAACAGATAGGCTGGGCCAGCACATCGAAGGCCAGGCCAAGGGGTTTGGGTGTCGGACTGCTCTTAAAAATAAGCTAATGTGGTTTTGAGGTGGGTATAGATGTGTAAGTCCTTTTCTAATTATCCTGGTGTTTTTTTGTCTTCAAAAGCCAGGGTCTTAGCAAAAGCAGACATTTTCCCTCCTTACCAAAATTTGCCTTCCTTCCTCTTGCCACTTTCAACTCTACACAAGGCCTGTTTTCTTCCAAGCATTCTAACATCTCTGAATCCTTTGCTGGATCTTCTTCTATTTGTAATTTGTGTTCCTTGAGCGCTACCTCTTTGATTTTTCCTTCTGTCTTCATGTCCTCAATGAATTCATCCACTCCTATAGTTTTCTTCTTGTTCGTGTGTGTGTGTGTGTGTGTGTGTGTGTGTCCATGTCTGTGTCCGTCCTATAGCAGAGATTGGCCAAGTTCTCATGAATCCCACTTCCTTTTCCTGGAACACCAGTAAGATAGATTTGCCACTTTAGTTGGATCCCCCATGCAATGTGGGCAGAAGTGCTATATGCCACTTCAGGATCTCTAAAATCTCCCATGAAATCCTTATGATTCAACCCTTCTGCAACCACCTTGGATGTCACTCATTTCAGATGGCAGTGCCCAGAGACGGAA